AAGATATGATTTTAAGGGGCTGACTTAAAATACATAGGAAAAAAACTTGTCTCTGCCTTTTGAAGCAGTCATTTAAACCCCCAAGCTTGAAATCATGATAAAAAAGTTCCAAATTGATTAATATGGAAATTACCAAACCATCAAAACTGCTGATGTCGTAAACAAAATTCGTCAACAAAATTCATTGAAAGTAAATTTATTGTTTGTTTAAAAAAAAAACAACTGTGTAACACGTGCTGCTCATGACATTTTTGAATCTGGTTTGTTGTTCATCTCTTCTCAGGCTTCAGTTTGGCAAGGCTAAACRAGAAACACGGTACAGACACAGTTAGTAAGCACGAGTAAGGAAGCAAAAATAACACGTGTTTGCTATTCTCTCAAACCTGAGATGTGCCACCCAAATAGTAGTGAAGTTATAATACCTGAGCATGTTCCTTATATTCTGAAAATGATTACATCTTTAAAAGAGGTATATCTGATTTCAACCAAATGAGGTTTCAGACCAAGTTATCTATTTCCTCTTACAGAACTTAATAAAACAATGTGGCAGGGGCCAGGGGAATTATTTTGAATGTGTAACTGGAAGATTCTGTTTTAATGGTAATATTGCAACATTACTCTTGCTTTAGCTTCCCCCAGAAATCAGTTCTTAACTACTACATACAGACTACAGCAAGGAATAAAGCTGTAACATAGACAGGTTACTTCTAAGAACCTTCAGTTTCAGGGTACATGCAATTCTCTGACATTCAAATGATAATAGTTCCAATTTTATACCAAAGCAGTTTCAAATTGCACTTACTCCAAAGCTTTAAAAAAAAAAAGCTCATAATTTTTAAAAAGTCTTAATATCTGAGAAGGCAGGATTTTATGATCATGTTGATCATTTCTATTTGGCGATGGAAACTAAGACCAAAACATGTGCTTAAAAATGCTCTAGCTTTCCTTTAAAAATGTACATTTAAATCATTATACCTATCTCCCTCATCTAAAATAAATATTGAGTTACCTCTTCACAGACAACCTCATACAATAGCAGAATTCTCAGAAATATTTTATAGTATGAAATTTGAATAGCCACACATCTGAGCCTCAAATATGTACAAAGACTCAAAATTCCAGACCTTCCCCTGCTCTACGGTTCACATGCAGACTGGTTGCATTCACAAGTTATGTTTACCCGTTTGTAAGCACACTCAGGTTTCTTAGATACAAAGCCAGTTTAATTAAGGCAATGGGAGTTCCTTGTGTGCCAAAGAAGATGCAATATGTACAAGGATAAATTAATACAAACATGCGTCCCTTTGCATTTGTTATTTGATTCCTTATATATTTAAATTTGTGATTTAAAACTTGCATTAAGGCARCTTTTGCCCTTCATATACTCCATAATTTATACACAGAAGAAGGATTCATAGGAGTCACAACATTCTTTCCTAGAGCTATTTATCAATAATTAAGTTATTTTTGTGACTACCATTCAGTGTGTGAAATAGAAAACCATGCCATCTGTATATGCCAATGACTAAAAATACCTCCTCAATGGACCATTAACTTCCTTTAGTAAGTTTTTTAAAATATTGTTTTTCTGTTTGGCCCTCATTGTATTTAACAAAAAATGTCAGATAACCTGCAGAAGTAGGAACAGGGTGAGTGTGTGTGTGTGTGTGTGTGTGTGTGTGTGTACATGTGCATGCATGCATCTGTGTGTACATGCACATGATGAGAGAAACAGGATGGACAGTGGAGGAGTGAGCCTGGTTTTGAAGGAAAACATGACTTTGTCAAGCCGACTAAAAAGAAAAGGCTTATACACTGACACATTTATCTAGAAAGCTAGACTCCCAAAATCTAAAGCACCTAACACTTTTCTTTTTGTTATGTGAACCACAAAAGAAAAACAATAATCACAGACACACCACTGCCTAGTCCCTGCCCAGCCCATCATAGCAGCACCTCTTATGAACTATAGAAAGAAACGTTCATGCATATACACCTTTTGATTGAGCTATTTCAAAGCACCACTGTAAGAAAATCACATCCTATTCTCCTCAAAAGAACAAAGAGAAAGGAAGAAACTAATTTTAAAATTTTACTATCTTCGACTATGTTGTTTTAAAAAGAACAAAACATAAAAAGAATCAACTAGAGGGGTGGTCTCAAATAATCAGATCCAGGTATGAAAGACTGTTTAAAAATGTTTTTAACAATCTAACAACACTTAAATAGTAATGACATATAATAATGCTAGGAAGCCAGAACTGCAAGCCAACAAAAAAAGAAAGAAAAAAACTTCTTTTATGTTTAATAGATAATGCTCAATTCATTTTCAAGGAGCATAGTTTGGCAAACTTTAGTCCTACAGGGCTGAGGCTTGTGATCAGATAGAATGCAGTCACAAGCAAGGGTTCTAGACAAGACACTGGGACTCTGCTCAGTTCTTCCATTCCCCACCATGTGGCAGCATGCTGTTCTCCTGAGAGATAAGTTCTGTTTCCTAGAATTCATAGACTTCCCTGGTGTAAATCCTTTCTCCATGCTGATTTTAAGCTACCAGTATGTCATCACTGGACACAGTGCTGGGAAGAGCAGGACAGTAATCACCAGTGTGCAGTATTAACATATGCCCATACAGCAGGTGTAGATCATCTCAGAAGCTGGGATCATAGTATGGTAAAAGTAATTAGGAAATGATGAATTTTGAATATTAATTATTTCTGATTTTTATACGATCTACTTAATTTTAAATAAGGGTTAGGCTTAACAATGATTTGCAAAATTTATAAAAACTGCTCCCATAAATAAATGTGGGCTGACTTTAGCAAACCACTGATTCCAAGTATCCAGAGAAGTTTAGATATCTATGATTTTCTTACCAGCCATTGTTAAATACTGGAAAAATATTAGCCTCATGCATACTAGGCAAGCACTCTACCTCTGAGCYACAACCCCAGCCCAAGAGTAAACAGGTTTTTGAAGTTATAAATGGGTCAATTTTTTTTTTTTTACTACAAGGCTGGCTTTCTTTACAGATTATAGGTAAAGTTTATGGATTTAGACCTAGAGAAAATATCATATAATGTTCTGCTGGCCATTTAAGAAAAAGAGGGTCAGGAAGTGTTCACCGTCCCTTTAAAACAATATACATTTTGCCCACAGCCTACTCCTCTGGCCCCAAATTGTAAGTCTACCATTGAAGTTGCAAATTGCAGACAAAGATGATTTATAATTAATGTAATCCCAAAAGACTGGAAGTTTGTTTACCCATTACATTATATCAAGTCCAGATAAATGTTGGTTGATGAATGAAAACTAACAAGCCATTAGTTTTCAATATGCCTTCAAGAGAGCCCTGGAAATGTGACTATGCTGCATTCTTACAGGAGGTTCCCTTCCATCTATTATTCTCTAATTTAAAGAAGACAGTAGCACAAATTCCTTAAATTTTAATTAATGGAYAGCAGCCTTATGTCTGTGCATTGTATAGGTGCTAGTTTCTGAGCTGTCAGATTGCATATGTGGAAAGAAAAGCCCCCTGGCTAACACAGGAGCTGAAACAAAGTGGCAGTAAGAGCTATTTCATTCTGTAAATATTTTTGGACATGGAATATAATGAAGAAAGATGATTTGACTGAAAATGGATTTGGAAGGAGCAGTATATAAACAAGAAAAAGTCTAATGAAGAACGATGAAGATACCACTGCTCTGAATCTTCGGGGAGAGAAATGAATCCTATTTTAAACTAAAGATAATACTGTGAACAGGCTAGATTTTTGTTTAATGTGAATCTATAGTTTCCTTCTTCCATGCACTTGACTTAAATACATCTACAGAACACAACTGCTGTGTTGCCTAACCTTCCAGCTGAGCCCTGATTCCTCAACTTTCCAGACCTGACCTATCTATAACACCCTGAGTTATTGAGGTCAACCTAAGGATCGTAAATCAGAGAATTCCATGAAAATAAAAACTCTTGTTCACATTTTGCAATTAAAAACAAGTTAAAAGAATGTAGGATATCTACTTTTTGAAAAGTCAAGAGGCTGTGTTGTATGTTTTCAATTTTAAACCATCATCTTGATATGTTTAGGGCTTCAATTTATGGAWCAATCGAGCAATCTTTATATTTAACATTAAATGCCTGAATATTATAAATCACCTTAGATGAACATTTATGGGGGAGTTTCAGTGAAACTTCTGAACAACTTGTCACTTTTATTGTATAGCAATGATTTGTAAAAAATGATATGCTAAGTAATCCTAGAGTATAATTTAGGGACACAAAAACAACTGTCAAGAAACAGGCAGAAACTACATTTAATGAAATCTTTACAGACTAAAGTAATAAGTATTAAATTAATCAACACAGCTTAATTGAAGCTCTATCTGTAACGTTTTTTTATTACACTTGTTATTAATGAACCTTTAAATGCTACCACTAACTTGAGCTCTGTGTTAAATTTAAATAATGAACCATTGTTCCCACACACAAAAAAAGAACAAACACTGCTTTAATAGCCCTTTGTTTCAATGGGCCTCTTCCTCTTGTACAGAGTGAAGACATAGAGGACTCCCTCTTTCTTCTCCAGGGTTATTTACATGGTTGGCAAGATATCAATGTTGAAGGCTGCTGAAATAACTAAAGCAAAATCCTTAAAAAAAATAGAAATGCAGCAGCTAAGACTGGAAATGATAAAAGAATTTCGGTTGACTTCAAAGATACTGTTTTCAAATCTGTGCTTCTTGTGTTTTTTATTTAAACCTCACAGTCATATACAGTCATGTGACACCTAACATTTTGGTAAACCACGGACCACACATATAACAGCATATACCACATAGCCGAGCATGCGGTAGGCTATACYACATAAGTTCCAAGATGTTTGCACAATGATGAAACCACCACTTCTGAGATGCATTTCTCAGAAGGTATCCTTACTGTTAAGTGGCACATGASTGTATATCTAAGGGTGCTCTGGTTGATGGTGGCAAAGACTTACCTGAACATGTCTCCCAAACCCTTCAGCATTCCCTTCTTGGCTTTCATTTTATCCTTTTCCTTTTCTCTATCTTTTTTCTTCTCTTTTCCAGTTTTATCCTTTTTCCTATCAGTCTTGTCCCCTTTTTCTTGGTTCCCATTCATTTGTCTCTCCAGAGAGTGCGAAGGCTGATCACTGGCTGTGGAAACCGATTCTCTCCCTGATCGTGAACTTTCTTCTGTGTCTTCTTCCACTGGACAGAAAAATAAAATAAAGATAAGGAATATGGTGAATACAGCCACAAAAATAAGTAGGCAAAAATGTTTGAGAACTTTACTTTCCCACATTTTCTACAGCAAAATGGTTTCGGCCCTCARCTTAGATTGCAACACTATTTAATGTTGAGTAGAATTAGAAGGAAATATGGATTAGTCCCATGCACACATGTCTGTTACATATAGAGGACGCACCAATAGCAAGACAGAAACAGCTTCCTGGCTAGATAGCTAGATGGTTCTATATGCACAGTAACACCCTGGTTGCTACACAGCATGTAGCAGGGGAGGATTTCAACCCTCCTTATACAGCACAGACCTCTCAGGGTCTTTGCACTAATAGTGGAAAGAAAGAAAGAAAGAGAGAAAGAGAGAAAGAGAGAAAGAAAGAGAGAAAGAAAGAAAGAAAGAAAG